GACTGAGTCTACCAGGTCGATCCCGGTCCTCGGGGGAGACCTTGATCTGGAGGAGGTGGGAATGGGGGGTGGGCTGGGGGGGAGGGGGGCGAGAGTGGGAGAACAGGGGAATCTGTGGCTATTATGTTGAACTGAATGGTGTTGTAAAATAAATAAAAAAAAAAGAATACATCAAAACAATTATCCATCACAACCAAGTGGGATTCATCCCAGGGATGCAAGGATGGTTCAACATACGAAAATCAGTCAATGTAATACACCATATAAACAAACTGAAAGAAAAAAAAAACACATGATCATCTCATTAGATGCTGAAAAAGCCTTTGACAAAATCCAACACCCCTTTATGGTAAATGTCTTAGAAAGATCAGGAATACAAGGAACATTTCTAAACATAATAAAGGCAATTTATAGCAAGCCAACAGCACACATCAAATTAAACAAAGAGAAACTCAAAGTGATACCACTAAATTCAGGAACAAGACACGGCTGTCCACTCTCCCCATATTTATTCAATATAGTACTAGCTAGAGCAATAAGACAACAAAAGGAGATCAAAGGGATACAAATTGGAAAGGAAGAAGTCAAACTTTCACTATTTGCAGATGATATGACAGTACACATAGGTGACCCGAAAAAACTCTACCAGGGAACTCCTACAAATCACTTTTAAGAGCAGGCTTAATGACCAGCACAAAACAAATTCAATGTCATCTTTGTGGTGATATTTTATTTGTGCTGAAATGTGGTGATATTTTATTTGTGTGTTAATAAATAAAGCTTGCCTGGAGATCAGGGAGAAAGGCTAGCCATTTTAAGTAAACAAAGGAATCAGGTAGCATATGCCCTTAATCTTTTAGCAAGCAAGATCAAGGCCACACTAGGGAACAGAAACAAGCGTGGTAACACATGCCTTTAATCTTAGTACCAACCATAGAGACCTGGAGGTCTGTACAGACAGACAGACAGACAGAGAGTGACAGAGCTATGTAGGAAGAGGAAGTGAGATAGTTGGGCTAAGAGCCGATGAGAGGGCAGAAAAGCAAGGCATATAAACCTGGGTAAACAGGAAATCATGTTCCTTGGAAGCTGTGGAGTTGATGAGGTGAGGTTTGTGGTAGCTTTCTATATTTTTCCTGATCTCTTTAAGGCTTTAACCCAAATTTCTAGCTCCATGTTTTTTATTTAATAAGACCATTTAGAAATTTGTTTACAATTGGCATACCAATGTGGGGCTCTCAAATTTCCATAAGGCCTAAAAGAGTTTAAAAAGGCCTTCTAAACACACAATAACAGAGCTAAAAATAACTTTCTACTTCATGTCTCATGTGGGTAGAGATATAGTGATGCTAATGTACAGAGATGCCATGGTGTGCAGACTTGACCTACATACAGTACGGCAGATTCACTGCATGTGGGCTTGACCTGCAGTATGGCGGATTTCTACTAAGGTACACGGAGGCATCTTCAAGCTGCACAGTATGCTGCATGGTGGATTTAGCTTTTGCTAGTACAGAAAAAAAAGGGTTTTGGGCTACACAGTGTGGGATGGAAGCATAGACCCACTGCTTCACATAGTCAGCAGAGAGCATGATTCCCCCAGAGCTGGCAGTAAAAATAGTTCTGCCATGGTAGAAAGTTGAGGTGGGCAGAGCCAGCAGCCAAAGCTGCCATTTCAATCTTAGTAATACTGCAGTATTACTTTTAAAGCAGGAGATTAACAATAAAACAGATTCATATGGGATAAACCCTAAACAGTTTACAGTGTGATTAAAAATGTTCAGAGGCTTGGAAGAGAAAGGAAAAGGAATATAGACAGTTATATAAAGAAATAGATAGTTTTAAAAAAATAAAGTCTTTAAAGAGAAAGTAAAAATAATATAAAAAATTAGCCATGTAAAGATGGATATTACACAGAGAATCTGGACTGTGTTGTCTTTAGGATTTTTAACTACAGAGAAACATTTGATTGTAATGGCTACTAGGTTAAAACAATATGTATATTTTAAAAATAATTTTACTTCAAAATTTATGTCTAAGGATCCATTGCTTTGGAAAAGATGGTCTTCATTTGTTTCCACAGGAAGCAAGAGGCTATGGATTTGTTCCAGATTAAGATGGATCATATTTGATCAAGCCAGACTTCTTGAACCTTAACAGATGGTACCTATCAACAAAGGTTGGTCTTCCCAGGATTGACGATTATCTCAAATTTTCTCAGGATCCCCATAAGACTATCAGCACCCCCTATCAGCAGGAAGTAGCCTAAAAAACTACACTCATATTCCCAAAAAAATGGATTATGGATGTTTGCCTTTGTTTAGGTTGTTGGTTACATATTGTTATTGATTATGAATGCAATCTCTTTCTAAAGAAGAAAAGGGGATAGTATAGATATGATAGGATTAAAGGGTAGATTATTGAACCTACTTTTAAAGAGCAAAACTTGTTTAAAAATATTTTACATTGCTATGGATATTAGTTTATTGATACAAATTTAAAGTTAATTTTGTTGTACTATATATATTTCTATTCTTGTTTAAAATATTTTGTTTGTGCAACTCATTTGAAATTGTAGTGTATAATTGAGAAATACAGATTAATAATCATCTATGATAATCAAACATATAGTCATGTTAGTTGAGCTTTCTAGGTATACATAGATATATTTCAGTTAGGTAGGTGATCTTCAAACACTTCCAAGACCTACAGAATATGGCATTTTAAATGGTTTAAAAACTTAGACGTTTCTGAACAATGAGACACGTCTGCTCCTGGCAGCACCAATTTACTTTAAAGAGAAAGATGGACATCGATGACACTCTATATGGGGTTTACCTTCTTCTTGGCAAAAATAGCCATTTGGAAAAGAAACTGTTCTTGCCTGGACTGCTTGAAAAATGTATCAACTGGACATGCAGGACCCATAGGAAGGTAACCACTGAACATTGCGAGGCAAGATGGTCTTTCAGGTTCCTGCATTGCAGAGGAAACTGTGAGGTATTCTACAGGACACAGATAGAAGCAACTGAGGGACTCTAGGCCTATAGGCTGAACAATGAATGCCCCAACTTTGCAGAAGGACTTTTGGTTACTGTCCAGGTAGCCAGCTGTCTCTGTCATTCTAGATTTTTGGAAGTTGTTTCCAATGCTCTTCCTGTTTACTTATGTAATATATCCTTCTGGGGTCTTTGATGTAGTTGAAGACTAGATAGTTATAATTTTCCTTGGTAATGATAAAAGATAAATTAGATATAAAACTTTAGACTCACAAATATATAGGATAGATAGAATATTTCTATTTTGCCAAACACAAATAGATTAGATATTACAACTGTAATTCTTGCTTTAGAACTGTTCTATTATATGTAATTTTACTATGTTAAAGTAAAAGCCTTCCTTTTTGATTAGACAAAGAAGGGTAAATGCTGTGGAATGTCATTCTGTATGTTTGTGAATGTGTTGCTCTGATTGTTTGATAAATAAAATGCTGATTGACCAGTAGCTAGGCAGGAAGTACAGGTGGGGCGAGCAGATGAAGAGAATTCTGGGAAGAGGAAGGCTGAGTCAGGAGTAACCAGCCAGACATAGAAGAAGCAAGATGACAAGGCAGGACTGGGAAAAGGTACCAAGCCATGTGGCTAAATATAGATAAGAATTATGGGCTAATTTAAGTATAAAAGCTAGTCAGTAATAAGCATGAGCTAATGGCCATTCAGTTCACAATTAATATAAGCCTCTGTGTATTTACTTGGGTCTGATTGGTTGCAGGACCAGGCAAGACACAGGAAATTTATAAATGGCTGTGGGACCTTGGTGCTGGGTGAGACCATGAAAACTTCTAGCTACACATCTTTGGAGAATTTTATGTTCTTCATCTCATAATGTTTTTCAGCATGTTTTTGTAACCTCACAGGTACTTTGCATAGATATTATGACTTCCAGTTTTGTGTTTTTATAGGATTTCTGTGTGTGTGTAAATGTGAGTGTTTCTGTGTCTACATGTGCTTCTTGGGTTTTTTCTTTGAATTTTATTTTCTGTTCATTTTTTCCCATCCTGGTTTATCTGCCTTTGTTTTATCTTATTTTATTTCATTATTATTCCTTAGTCACCTGTTTGTTTTTTAAGGAGAAACAGAAAGTTTGTAGATGTATATGATAGGGAAGATATGGAGAATCACAGAGGAGTTGGGGGAGGGGATACTGTAATCAGAATATATTATATGTGACAAATCTATTTTCAATAAAAGGAACATTAAGAAATCTATGACACCAAAAGGGCATATAACCTTTTTGTGTTGTAATGTCACTAGACCATACATACACAAGAGCTTGAGTAGGTTTCCTAACAAGTGGGGGACACACACTAAAGGATAATGTGTAAAACAAATAAGAATACATCACACTACTGATTTGTGTATTTTATTTGCAATGAGAAAAATGACTTTCTATAAGTATTAGTTGCATAAATTACAGAGTCAATTTTTAGACAAAGACAATTTATAATATTCTATTACTCTAATGGCTCAAAGACAAATTTGTCCCAAAATTATTTTGGAATTATAATTCTGTTAATATGTTTTTCACCCTGGGAAAAGTGACTAAATTAAATATATACTTTTAGATCCATAGATACTTTAAAACAAGAAAACTGCTATGAGTCTAGTCTCTCAATTTTCTTTACCCTTTTCACTTGCAGTGCTTACACAAAGCAACAGCCATGCTGTCAAGTTTAGAATTTAAATAGATTTTCACAAAAGCTTCACATACACCAGCTGTGATGGCCCCACAATCAACTTCAACTTTATTTTCTGTCTTTAAACAGAAAACATAGATTCCAAGATGGTTCTCACTAGCCACAGCTTGGTAGTTTGTAAGGGTGGTAATTTCCATCTGTGAGAAGACAGAGACATAAGACAGAATGTGTGGGCAAAAAGTATCTATATTCCCGAGACATTTGAGTCACACTACTTTTTGAAAGGAAATGATATTACCCTAAAAATCAACCTCATTATATAATAATGCAATATAACATTCAGTGAGAAAAAATATACAATGAAATAAAGATTATGAAAATACAATCTATTTTTAGAATTTGTAATCTCGTTGCCCTAATGAAGCCATGAGAGAAGACTGTAGTAATGGCAGAAATTGAGGTGTTGACATGTAACCCATTTATGAATGAGGTTTTCCAAAGTAAAAGATGGGAATAAACAAGAAAAAAGGTTGAGAAAATAAAAGAAATATAATATAGTATGGTAAGACAGGAGTTTTAGGATATTAAACTGTGCAGTATATTTTTTAAAATAAAAATATAGTCATAGCTGGTTAAGAAATTCAATTAGAAAAACAATGATTAAATTCATATAAATTTGAAAAAAAATTGAAGTGAGGAGCTAGGCAGAATGTAAAATAGTAGAGACTTTTCTAACAAAGAACATGAGCGACCAAATAGACAAAAATGTGTGGAATAGTCACAAGTCTAGAAATGTCCTTAATATGATATAATGAATTAGAATTTCAGTGGTTATGTATGTAGCCCTTTAGATCTATTTGTTTCTGAAGGACAGTACTGTGGAGGTATTCTAATTGTACTGAAATGTGATTTTGATTGTATGTTAATAAATAAAGTTGCCCAGGGTTCAGAGCTATTAGAGCCATAACAAGAGTGTGGCGGTGGTGGCACACGCCTTTAATCCCAGCACTTGGTAGAAGAGCTAGGTAGACCTCTGTGTGTTCAGGGATAGAGCCAGCATTGGAGACATACGCCTTTAAGACCTGGGGGGGCTGTACATACAGGCAGTGATGAGGCAGTCATGTGTTTGGGTTTACAACCAATGAGAAGGCAGAACAAAAAGACTATGAAAAGACATACACACAGGAAGTAGCTCTCTTTCGGAGAGCTAGGATCACCGCAGGAGGAAGGGTGAGATTTTAGCTCTGAGCTCTGACCTCTTGGCTTTCTCTTTTACATTGGTTCTGTGTTTCTTATTTAATAAGACGGTTGGTTACATCTAGACAGTACTTTTTAACTAGGTTATAGCTACCTTTTCTTCATCTTAGTCCTGAAGGAACCTCTGGTAGAAATTTCTTTTCATTTTGATGTGATGTTAATGGAAATTTTCTTTCTCTGATGGTTACTTATCTCGTTTCTATGAATAAATAACTGACAAGAATAAAAGGCAGTAAGCATTTGTTTTGTATTATAGTTCTAGGGAGAAACAACTTATCATAGCAGGAATACACGGTCTTATGGACAACAGGCAGCTAGTCACATTCACACACTGTCAAGAAAGAGCAAGAAATGAATGCATGTTCCCAGCTTGCATACTACATTGTCTTCAGTCCAGGACCACAGCCCATGGGAGGGTATTAACCACAGACAGAGTAGATAATTCTACCGCAACCTAATCTAGATCATTTTCACAGGCATGTTTTCATGGTGAGTCTAAATACTTTCAAATTTACAATCAAAATACTTTCCAAACTAAATACTTTCCAAAACATCAAATCACCTTTAATCCATTGCTTTCCATACTTTTTGCTCATAGGTTTATTGTCACCTCATAATACAAAAAATATTCTAGTGAAATTTTAGTTTCCATAGCCTTTAACAAGTCCAGTACTGCTTAAATGTCCAAAATCTACATGTCATCTAAGACTCAAGGCAATGTCTTAAGTATGTGATCTTATGAAATCAAACTAAACTATATTCTTAAAATATATATTGGCAATAAATAAGCATTCCTACTCTGAAATGGATTAATTGGTTATATAGCTATAATACCTAGACCAAAGAAAGAGTAAAACTCAGCAAAGCAAACACCAGTTGTGTCACTTAACATTTATTTTTACTTCACTTATTTTTTGAGATTATGATATAATTATATTATTTTCCCCTTCCCTTTACTTCCCACCAACTTTCTCATACATCTCTTCTTAATCTCTTTCAAATTCATCATCCAAGTTGCTCATAAAATTCCAGATGATCAGCCCTGCGAATATACATACAAGTAATATAATACTGGCTGAAAAGTCTGTATTTCTGAATATATATGCATATATACATAAATGCATGTAACAACAATTAATTATAAAAGACATCATGAATGTTTTAATGCAAATTTATTTTCCAGTATGGTATCCATTAGTGCCAAGAAATGTGAATATTCCAAGAAATGTGAATATTCCAAGTTGAAATGATGCAACATGTGTCAAATATTCTCTGGATTTTTAAAGATAATGTAGAAATACAAATTAAAACACCAGGCTGAGTAGGTTTGCAAGGTACTTCCAGCACAAGTAGTTGAGGTCTGATTATCAGAATCCACAAACTTGACATAGAAATGGGTATCTGTAACTCCAGCAATCCTAAACAAGAACAGGGTCAGAGATCGAGTTTCCAGAAGCTCACAGGCCAGGTGGACTGACATAATCACAAATAAAGAACACCACACACACACACACACACACACACACACACACACACACACACACACACATCTATATAGATATAGATATTCCTAAATATATAACATGATCAGTCTGTGTACTGTTACTTGTATATGTGTTTTCAAGGCTCAACTTCTGGCACTGGGTAACCAATAGGTGTGCTCTTCCCCTTGTGTCAATATTAGTGAAATGTTCATGTTTTGATATGCATCAGCCATAATTAGAGTTACTACCACTAGTTCCATTTCCCTTTTCAAATGTCATTGCTAGCAAATATAAAATTGTTTTGTGGATCACAGTTGGGGCATACATGTCTTCCAATGTGCAATGCTTGAATTGACTACACATTGAAGGTATTCCAGTTCAGGTGTGATACTGGTAGTGAAAACCATGGCATACTTTGTATTGAAATGAGTTTAGCAAGAGTAATGCAAATGGAACAATGATTATTTGTGGAAATCGAGGTCAGTTAACTTTTATTGAAATAATTTTAATATGTTTCACTACTTAAATTTATATTTCAAGCTGGTCAGAGAGCAAAGTGTGAAAATAAACTCTATTTTTTTTTCTCCAAGACCAAATGATTTTGACATCATCATTGTGAATTGGTCCTTTGGTTCATCAATTTCTTTGGTTTATTTTTTTTTCTTTTTTCTAACCAGCAGTCTCTGCTCAACAGGGAATACCAATAATAGGCAACTGAGATTGTTGGAAATGTTACATGTCAAAGTCATCTTGATGTGCCCTAATTAATATGACCAAACAGGTTTTTGAAAATCTGTTCACAAGTTGATATGTGTGAATTTTCTTACTTTAGCTATGTGCATCATTGATATGATTTCCAAGTGTTGCTAGGATAGAATTGGAACGATAACATTATCTTTATAGTGACTCCCCATTGTAGCACATAGTCTTTATGTTTTGACAAAACAAAAACCATGCTGACAATGATAGGAAAAATCTAAAGCTTTGTCAATATATGCACGAAAGAAAATTATATCCTTATAAAGTGGACACCAATTTTAAAAATGTATTTGAAATCAAAGTGTGAATTTCCTAAGCAAAAATGTGGTTTTAACTATGCATACATTTTCATTATGTTTAATTCCAGGGAAAAAAGTAGATATAGTCACAAACAAGTTGTTTGCTTTTAAATAATACATAACTTACCTTTAGTGATGGGAAGGTATATTGTGGGGTGCTAACAATGGAAGAATTATCCAATTGAAGGAATGTATTTCATGCTCATGCAAAGTTAAATAAGATTAGTATGTCCATAAATATTGATGACAAAAGTGTGCATATCATATAGTAAATAATTCTTCATATTATGAATACTTTATCTTTTAACATTAAGGCAGTACATTATAATAAACATGATGATAGTATCTGGGTATAGTGATACACATTTGTAATGTCAACATTTGACAGGTAGAAACAGTAGGATCGGGAATATAAGTCAGACTTGGCTAATAGGGAGTTTAAGGCAATGCTTGACTACCTGATACCCTGTTGCAAAACAAACAGAAAAAAAGGTGAAAAAGTTTTGAATCTATAAATCTCAAACTGGGAACTGAGAAAGTTTAACTTTTATGAACATAAGAATACAGAGTTTGATGATATCTTCATATAATATTATTATAGTGAATGTTTCTCAGATTTTTCAATTTAAATTAAATTTTAATTTTAGTCAAAATCAAATACATCATTTTCTCCTTCCTTTCTTCCCTCCAACCATTCCCATGTGCCCATTCCTTGCTCACTCTGAAATTAATGGACTCTTTTTCTTTGTTATTCTTACATATATGTACAAATCCATAAATATTTGCAGGTAAATGATTCTTTTGCTTCTTGATTTGTCACAATACTAAAAGAACATTGTGTGTATCACATATTTAAGTATTATTCTAGACAGTACAAAGACAGTCTCTGTCAGAAGAGAATAAGATTCTTAGTATTTAATATTAATACTTTTTTTGTGCTACAAGACATAAATGCTGAGGTACCAATTTGGGTCCTCTGAAAGCTGAACTATCTATCCAGACCTATTTGCTATGTCATATCATGCCTGTGTTAAAATGATTCATTCAGTTGTATAGCTGAATCCTCCTTTGCTCCTACTTACCTTGAGCCTGGAAAAGGTTAAGAAATTCGGTGGGTAAAAGAAGGTAGAAGAATTACAAAAGGCAAGCAAAACATGTTGTGAAGATCATTCCCAGTGTTCTGGAGCCATCTTCTTATAGAATTTGGCCCCCAAATAAGTAAGTGGAGTAATTTTGGTATTAGACATTTTTTGGAGGGTATTATAGCACTGGAGATTAAACTCATGGCATTGTGAATGGTAGGCAGGCAAATGAGTCAATACCTCATTTCATTACTGGATTCTCCTGTATGCAGATTTGAATCATCCATCATTTAAAATATTACACATAGTAGGGCTAGTAACAATAATGGTAGTAAAAGAGCTATACATTCAGGATGTTTTCTCCTCATTTTATGCTTGTATTTTATGGATTCCATCATAGTTTGAAAGTGCCAGCTATATCAACATGCACTGTAAAGGTCTCCTATTTATTCTAAAGTGAATTGTAAATTATTATATAATTGTGTCCAGTGAATTATACTTTTTAAAACTCATTGTAGGCCAAGTGATGGTGGTGCACACTTCTAATCCTAGCACTTGAGAGACAGAGGCAATTAGATCTCTGAGTTAAAGGCCAGCCTGGTATACAGAATGAGTTCTGGGATAGCCACAGCTACACAAAAACAAAAACAAAACCTCATTCTAGGATATCCCACACTTATACATGATATGTTCCATATTATAACTTTTATCCGTTTATATTTATATGAGTATCAGAAATTAGGACTCAAAATTCCTTTTGTTGTTCAAATTGAACAATGATTTTTTTTTTTTACAAATTTAGGTTACCAGTACCCATTACATGTGATTTTTATAAGAGAAGTCATATAACCTCCACAGAAAACATATAAGGAAAATTCTTATTTATATTGACCGGTGACAAAATTAAAATTTGAAAAAACTAAGCCTCTTACTCAGTTTTAAATTACTATAGATGGCTCAGCTTAAATTAAATAAAAAATGTTATATCTGAATGTAGAACCACTCACTCCCTAATTGTGCCTCCCAATGGATGGGCTATGGCAACCTACATTAAGAAGTTGACATTTGAGGCTGTTTTTGAAAAATAATGAGCTGTGTGGTGAATGAAGACATATACAATTGGAAGAATAGAACAAGCATTTTAGAATAAGAACATCATAGGAGGAAAGATATCATTATAAGATGATGCATTTTTCATCTATCTGGTGAAAATATAGCCAGTTAGATAACAATAACTTATTTTCAATCATTGTCTTAACAAGAAAAGTACCTTTTACTTTTTTTCTGTCCATTTCAGGCTTACATGCAAATCTATAGCTTCAGAACTTGTGATATCAAATAAAATAAGAGAAGCAGATTAGACTTTCTTGGCATTATTTTTTCCCTAAATAACAATACTTCCTGCAACAAAGAAAAATTAGATAAAATCAGAAAAACATAAAACTCTAAAGTTGCCAGGAAATTTTTAGTTTTATTTTATGTTATGTTTCAAATAAATGGGCATAAAAATGCTAAAGTTCGTTAAAGAGCCTTATAGCATACAAATAAATGTTCATTATTTTAGAATACTCTCATATCACCAATGACAAGTTTTAACCAGATGTCCCTGCTATTGGAACTTAATCTTTTTATTAGTGATATCTTAGTTTTTATAATCAATATTTTCTATTGGCTATTATATAATAATTTGTTGTACCTACACCATAAGTAGCCTATGAAAATATTTTTGAGTTCTTTTATATCACATATTTATGGTTTTCTCTACTACTTATCCCAGTCATATTGTCAAAAATTTTAAAAGGAAAATAAGAAAGATTTCCTTTCTACTTTGGATCTGTTGTAGCTTGTTATAATTCTTTCTAAACATAAACTAACTGTGAATAAGAATTTTGAATGCTCTCTCCTGAAGAAACAGAATTACATTTATTAAGCAATGAAAAGTGTGTTTTGGTTTGCATAGAATTTTCATCTAAGTTTTGAATATACAAGAACATGGGGACTTAAGAACTTAATAAGGAGAGATGATTATAGATAATTCAAACAGCAAATTGTTTTAAGAACTTTTAAGAAAATTTGTAGCAGAGAATCTACTAAAGGAAGACAGGAAATGAAGGAAATGAATATTTTATGTGAGCTTCATATTAAATAAACTCTGATGCATTATAAAGTAATGATTTCAAATTGTAAATTTTTAAAAGTTTAAGTCATGAAATAAATATATCAAATATATTGGATGAAAATAAGAAAACATTTCAATATATACTAGCAGTAGTTTTGTATGATAATAGAATCACTGAGCTTTCTACTTGCTGTGTCGCACATAGATTTAATTTTATATATTCTATGACTTAGTTTCCAAATCTGAAAAGTATAAATATCTTAGTAGTACCTTCCTTTTAAAGAGGCTGCTGGGGACTAAAGGCATTGGAGAAAATGAAATATATGTGTGTATATATTCATATGTATGTATATGCAATAATATTAAATATATGTATATACACATATGTATGTATGTATGTATGTATATGCGATCAATACAAGTTTTCACTATGTAGCTCTAGCCGCTCTGGAACACACTATGTTGACCAGGTTGGCCTCAAATTTACAGAGATTTACCTGCCTTTGCCTCCCAAGTGCTATGATTAAAGGTGTGTGCCACTACACTCAGCAATGATATATTTTATATTTTATCATTTCTTCCCAATAAATAACCAAAGCCTATGATATGAACATTGTAAACATTTAAAATACTTTGTGTTGATTGTGATCAGAAATTTTGCCTTTCATGTTTATTGCTTCAGTTTAATTTACTAGAATATTGCTGAGGAGAGCAATAAGTGCTCAGTAAAAGGATGCTGAAGAAATGAATGAATGGCTTATATTTGAAGACTTTAATTTAGATGTCTATATGGCAGGACCACTGAGAATTTTTTGATGAATGTCTTGTTCTTTAGATGAATATTCCTTGATATTTAACTTAACTCACTGATCTGTTAATGCCAAGAATATGAAGAGCTACAGCCCCTTTTATAATAAAATTGGTCATTTTATCATTACAAATGTACTAGATGAAAGGCAATATAAGTATATTATATAGATTTAATGACTTAGATGTTACCAATATAAAGGAGAATTTTTATATGATTTATAAAAAAATTAGATCATTTTAAAAGTTGGGGAAATTTATAGTGCTTGATGTGAATAGCAAAATAACTACTTGAAGTATCTGGACATTGCCCCCTAATAAATTTATCTGGGGTCAGAGACAGAAGAGCCACTAGATACAAAGGCCAGAAAATGGTGGCACTCACACCTTTAATCCTAGCATTCCAGAGACAGAAATCCCTCTGGATCTCTGTGAGGGCAAGGCCACATTAGAAACAGCCAAGAATGGTGACACACGCCTTTAATCCCAAGAAGTGAGCCTTTAATCCCAGGGAGTGGTGGTAAAAAGCAAAAAGGTAAATAAGGTGTGAGGACCAGAAACTAGAAGCATTTGGCTGGTTAAGGTTTTAGCTGGTTAAGCATTCAGGCTTTTGAGAAGCAGTTCAGCTGAGAGCCATTGGGATGAGGACACAGAAGCATCCATTCTGAGGAAAAAAAAACCAGCTGAGAAGTTGGCCAGGTGAGGGTAGCTGTGGCTTGTTCTGTCTCTCTGATCTTCCAGAATTCACCCTAATACCTGGTTCAGGTTTGATCTTATTAATAAGAACTTTTAAGATTCATGCTACAGTCAATAGACAAAATTGTTTAGAATGCATCTAAAAGTAAAGGCATAAAACCTTAATTTATAATGTGTGTTTGTGTATGTTTATATGTGTATGTATGTATATGTGAAAGGTACAACTAAAGAGAAAAATTAATAAAATTTTAGAGGTAAATACAAAGTAGGAAGCACAAATGGTTAGTAAGTTTCAGTAGTAATTCAATGAAAATTGAAAGGATGTACATATATGAAATTAGAAGGATTTCAATGATGTATGTTCAAATAAATCACAAAGATTATGGGAAAATTGAATCCCCTCACATTTACTCATAATTCTAAATTGTTTCTTTAGACTACTGTGAGACAACAAAGGAAAGCAACCTGCCTTGAAAATGCTTGTTTCCTTCAAATTAAAAATTGAACTTCTAGCAATATAGTATGTGAAAATACTGACAAAAGCAAATTTCATTTAATCCTCGTGATAACAATAAACACTTTCCCATACTGCAAATGAGAAATTGTACCATCAGAAAGAATAAGTCTATTTCATCAAGTTTTAAAGGTCAATATATTAAATCTCAAAGACAATACTCTTAATATGTTATAATGCAAATATTTGACCACTTGAAAAGGAGCAAGAGATCAGTTGGACAAATATCCTATATTTGCCATTTCTTTTTGATTCAAAAATCAATAGATAAACATCTGGGCTACGTTGTTGCAGAATGTTTTAGTGTCCTGTTTTTGCACACATTTTTCTGCACTAAATGTTCCTGTGAATATATATTCTATGCAAAATGTGTTTTTTATTTTAAATGTACGTTTTTTTTTTATATTCTGAGATGTGCATAGAAGGAATTTTAGTTGGCTTTGTCCCCATTACTTTCTCTTATTCCCATATCTCTTGCTGAAACCCTTCTTCCCAACGAATTCCATTCCTACTTTTTTATCTTTTTGTGTATATGACCTACTAAGTTTCATTATGCTTTCTTGTAAGATCATGACTGGGAAGCTAGTTACTAGAACATAGACAACTCATGAGTAGTTACACAACAGAAAAAATACCATCTCATTCCCCAGCAGTCACTCAGCATTCAGAGTAGGGCCTCGTGAGCTTTTTTCCCATGCATGACCTTGTGAAAGTAATTACAATTGCAGTAAGTGAATGACTGCAACTGCTATGTCATATCCAAAAAAACTTATTTTTCAGTACTTGACTTGCTTAACTTAACTCCCATGTTACCTAAATAATTTATAAATACTACGATCTCATTTTTATATGTCTATTATTTTCCTTTGTAATAAATGAGTAAACTTTCCTCTTCTGAAAAGGGACAGAAGAAAACCAAAAAATTAAGGGACTATTCTATTGCCACTAATCTCAATTCTTTGGTTCCATTTTGATTCTTTAAACTTTTCTTAAGGTACGAATATTATATCAAAATTTATAAGATTAATATATATGAATATTTTAAACTTTTGTTATGATATTAATGGTTATAATTCTAGAAAAATGATATTAACGGTACTAATTATAGAAAAAATGCTTCATTTAGCTGCCTATACATGTTTTTGTGTTGGAGTCTTTATCAGTTTTCTGCAGGGAATCATGCCCAGGCCTATCAGCAAATTTGGAGCATCCAGAAAGATAATGGGGACCCACAACAATGATTCAAAATGGACAATAATAATACCACTAAGCTGGCAAACATCTCCAAAAGATCAGCTTTGGACTACAAACTGCTCAGAACAATTTTGAGATGGCTAGCTGAGATGATCCAGCCTCACAGACAACAAATGATGCAGCTACCTCTCCTGAAACTTGACAATTAACCCAAAATTGTTCTTTTCAGGATCCCCTAAAGATTCCTTTGCCCACAAACAGCAGGAAGTATTTTTAAGAACATGATGCCCATATTCCCAAGAGGTGGGTCAAGTGGTTTTTGATATTTCAATGGGTTTCTGGTTTGGGATAGTTGTCATTATTTGGGAGGGTTGGGTACAAGTTGTTGTTGTTAATGGTCAAGAAAAGAGCTAAACAAATGAGATTAGATTTAAGGTTCTTGTTTGCAAAAAAGGGGGATATAGAGAAGAGGTAGATTATTGAATCTACTATGAAAAAAATATAGAAATGATAGAATAAAGGGTAGATTATTGAATCTACTTTGAAAAGAAAAAGAGAGGATATAGATATGATATAGATAAGAAGGTAGATTATTGAATCTACTTTTAAAAGAAAAATACTAGTTTTAAATACTTTACGGTGGATTGGATTTTATATATAATCTTGTTCAGGATGTTGTACCTACATAGTTCATTTAACAATGTAATGTAATTTGCTAATCTTTTAATGTTATTATTACCAACTATTAAGATGTAAAGAAATGAAAGCTAGTACTTATACATTATAAAGGAACTTGTAGTCATATTAGATATGTTTTCAAGGTCAAGCAAAGATATATTTTAGATAGACAGGTCATATTCAGACCTTTGAAAGATCTACAGAATATGGCATTTAAAATATTTTAATAACATAGATTTTTTTCTTTTCTTATGACTATAAGACATGTTGGTTCCTGTAAGCACCAATCTGCTTCAGAGAAGATATGAACATTGAATAAAATGAATATGGAGTTAACTTTCACTGTGGTAAAATTTAGCCACTGGGCGCCAATGTGCCCTCGCATTGACTGCTGACAGTATGCTATTCAAAATGGACAAACAGGACACAAAACAAAGGCCTACCAATCCTTGCCAAGACAAGTGTGGTTGCAGATTTGGCAACAGGTGTCCTCTGAGGCCAGGACAATATGACACTATCGATGAAGTGGCTTTGCAATCCAGAAAAGGTACAGTGCCCCCTTCTTCAAAGGCAGCTGAACAGGCATTGGACCAATGGCTTCCAGTATGCAGTGGAACAGCTGAAACAGTTATTCTTGAAGGAGTAACTAGGCTTATGGAGTCTAACTGGCATTTAATCAAGGAGATAAAGCCACCCACAAGCTGAGAAGAATTGGAAGCTGAATTCCAAAAATGCCAGTAATTTCCAGAATTTAAAATCCTGAATCATGATAGGGCACTGGTAGAATTCAAGTTTGTCTGGTACATGGAACACTCATAGAGAATGTGAGGTCAAGCTATAGGGCTTGTGTACATCCTACTTCACAAATGAGTCTGTCAGATACACTAAGCCTGTAGGCTGAAGATGATGCTCCAATGTGCAGAGAAACCTTGGGTCCCTGTCCAGGCAGCTTGCTATTTTGTTTGTTTGGTTTTTCTTTTATTTATTTATTTAATTTTTCATTTTATAATTTAATTTACTTTTACATATCAGCCACAGATTCCCCTGTCCTCCCTCCTCCTGCCCCCTTGCCCTCCCACCAGCGCCCTCCCCATTCCCATCTCTTCCAGGGCAAGGACTCTCCTGAGGATTCAGCTCAGCCTGGTAAATTCAGTCCAGGCAGGTCCCGTCCCACTTCCTGGGGGCCTCCCAAACAGTTCAAGCTGATCAACTGTCTCACTTACCCAGAGGGCCTGATCCAGTTGGGGGCTCCTCAGCTATTGGTTCATAGTTCATGTGTTTCCACTAGATGCCCTTCAACTGAAGAATGGATACATATACACAATGGTACATATACACAATGGATTACTACTCAGCAGAGAAAAACAATGACATCATGAGGTTTGCAAGCAAATGGATGGATCTAGAAAAAAATCATTCTGAGTGAGGTAACGCAGACTCAGAAAGACAAACATGGTATGTACTCACTCATAGGTGGATATTAGATGTAAAAAAAAGTATGACTAGACTGTTACTTACAACTCCAGGGAGGCTACCTAGAAAAGAGGACACTAAGAAAGACACAGGGATTGCCCACGATAGAGAAATGGATGAGATCTACATGAGCAAACTGGACTTGAGGGGGCTGTAATGAAGGGCAAGGGCCGAGGGAAAGAGAGCTTAGGGGAGCAGGATATCCCAGCTGGATCAAGAACAGAGAGGGAGAACAAGGAAAAAGAGACCATGATAAATGAAGACCCATGGGAAGAAGCAAAGTGCTAGAGAGGTCCCCAGAAATCCACAAAGATACCTTCAAAATAGACTACTGGCAATGGTTGAGAGAAAGCCTGAAACTGACCTACTCTGGTGATAGAATGGCTAAACACACTAACTGTTATGCTAGAACTTGTAGATGTAACCAACAGTCTTATTAAATAAGAAACACAGAACCAATGTAAAAGAGAAAGCCGAGAGGTCAGAGCTCAGAGCTAAAATCTCACCCTTCCTCCTGCTGTCCCAGCTTCCTGAAAGAGAGCTATATCCTGTCTGTCCATCTTTTTATAGTATTTTGTTCTGCCTTCTCATTGGTTGTAAACCCAAACACGTGACTGCCTCGTCACTGTCTGTATGTACAGCCCCCCAGGTCTTAAAGGCATATGTCTCCAATGTTGGCTGTATCCCTGAACACACAGAGATCTATGGGATTAAAGGCGTGTGCCACCACCACCACACTCTTGCTATGGCTCTAATAGCTCTGACCCCCGGGTAACTTTATTTATTAACATACAATCAAAATCACATTTCAGTACAATTAGAATACCACCACAAGAACTCTAATCAATGACTGATGGAAGCAGATGCAGAGATCCATGGCCAGGCCCCAGGTGGAGCTCCAAGAGTCCAATCCCAATCGGCGAGAAAGAGGAGGGATTGTATGAGCGAGAATTGTTGAGACCATGATTGGAAAAAGCACAGGGACAAACAGTTTGCTGTTTCTGTCAACTCACCTTGTTTTGGAAGTTGCTTGTTTGTGCTTCCTGTTTTATTAGGTAATATTATTTCCTTCTTAGGTCTCTGAGGGAGTTGAAGATTAGATAGTTGTAGTTAAATTTTTCCTTGTTAAGAAATTCAGAAAAGACTCACTAAGAGCTGTTAAGTATATAAATTTGAAAGGCATCAAACTAAACTAAGATAGTTTTAGGTTGGTAGTACAAGTTAGGACAGAAAGTGAATTAGGTACATTTTGGATTCACCAAAATAGAACAGATAATGGAATATTTTCTCTGAATTTGTCAAATGCAAATGGACTAGACATTGTTGATGTATTTATTGCTTGTATATATTGTAGAAAGTTATTGTACTTAATGTGTATAGTTTTTCTTATATTAGTTATAACTTCTTTTAAATTTAATTTTTATCAGACAAAAAGGGGAAATGTGATACTTTATTTGTGCTTTGATACATAAAGCTTGTCTGGAAATTAGGGGGGAAAGGCCAGCCATTTTAAGTAAACAAAGTCAGGCAGCACAAGTCCTTAATCCAATCACTTAGCAGGTAGGGTCTCCGTGTGTTCAATGTCATACTAGGGAACAGAGCCAAGTGTGGTGATACACACCTGTAGCAGGAATCTTAAAAGTTCTTATTAATAAAAACAAACCTGAGGCCAGTTATTGGGGTGACCGCTGGAAGATCAGAGAGACAGAACAAGCCACAGCTACCCTCACCTGGCCAACTTCTCAGCTGGTCTTGTTTCCTCAAACTGGAAGCTTCTGTGTCATCCCAATGGCTCTCAGCTGAACTGCTGCTCGAAAGCCTGAATGCTTAACCAGCTAAAACCTTAACCAGCCAAATGCTTCTAGTTTCTGGACTTCACGCCTTATATATCTTTCTGCTTTCTACCATCACTCCCTGGGATTAAAGGCTCATTTTCTGGGATTAAAGGCATGAGTCACCATGCTTGTCTGTTTCTAATGTGGCCTTGAACTCACAGAGATCCAGAGGGATTTCTGTCTCTGGAATACTAGGATTAAAGGTGTGAGTGCCACCATTTTCTGGCCTTTGTATCTAGTGGCTGTCCTGTTCTCTGACCCCAAATAACTTTATTAGGGTGCACAATATTTTGGGGAACACAATACCACCACACATACCTTTAATCTTAGTACTAACCATAGAGACCTGGAGGTCTGTACAGACAGTCAGTGACAAAGGAATGAGGTAGCTGGGCTAAAAGCCAATGAGAGGGCAGAAACGCAAGGCATACAAAGGTGTGGGTAGACAGGAAATAACTCACATTTGGAATCTGCAGAGATGGTGAGTTAAGGTTGGCTGGTGGCTATTCTTATTTCCCTGATCTCTAAGGCTTTCACCCCTATATTTGGCTCCATGTTTTTTATTTAATAAGACCATTTAGAAATTCGTTTACACTTTCCTCTTGAAAATATTCTAGAAACTACTGAATATATATATATATATATATATATATATATATATATATATATATATTCACCTTTCATTTGGGTATGATGTATTTGGGCCAAATCTGCTAAGACACATTGTATAAGGGAGGACACATATCACTTAAAGCATTACCAAAAGCACACTGTTCAGGTTTCACTTTTAGTAGGGCCAACATTGCTACATCATCAGTCAATTAATCCAAAATGGTCTGTTTCATCTTGAAATCTATAAAGTATTTTTGCTTTGGATTTAGAGTTGATAATGTAATGCCTGTGATGGTGAAACTAGAAATCAGCAAGTAAGTGGATATTCCCTAGTGATTTAGTACTCAGAATTTCAAGCCTGAGCACCAACATTTGCAAGCCTTAGTCACAACTTTAGGTATCTATGACATGAGAGTCAATGTTAATAACTGCTATATTAAAGCACTCCAATATTCTTTCATAAAGCAAGAATCTCCCCATCCCTCCAGTTATTAATCATCTAACATGTCAGCTACTTCTTAATATCAAAATCACTATGCTGGTGGTTTATAAATTGGTATCACAAAAGTTATTTTTGTTAGTATTATCTAGTGTGTGAACTGTTCCAAGACCAATACTTTCAGCATCTCTAGTTCTAGCTTCTTGCCTTCAAAGTTATCGTCTTACTTGAAAACCTAGTTATCAGTTAGATAAACCTTTCAAAGAATGGTTAAACAGTTTTCCTATTTAAGAAAGTCTAAAGTCTTCCTCATGGTACAATAACATTCCTCAGACCAACCCTCAAGCTATGACTCTTTCATCTCTTTTTTCTTGCAATGTTGTCTTTACTTGTCTGTCTTCATAAGATGGCTAACCTATCTTTATTACTTAGTTCAGTAGTGAATTGATAGTTTTCACCAAGTAAAAATAGCATAATGTTCCTTGTTTTCTTATTCCTTAGCTGCTCTACTTACAATATAAACTTATAAAATATCAACCCTCTATTAAAAGCTACGTTGTCTGGATATGTGATGGAAAACATATGGGAGTCATAATAGATTGCTATTAGACAAAGTATATACTTTTTAATTTTTTGAAATTTAGTATGAAAAGAGGATACAGACCACAACGTAACTAAATTTTCTTTTCTACATGAAAGTTCTTCTGTTGGAAAAAAAAAGGGACAGAGAAAATGGAAAGGTTATTGGCTTAGGACAAAAACAAATAAGAAGTGATATTT